GAAAAGATAGGATGATTATTTCCCTCAGATGTAAATAAACTATTCACCACCTTTTTAAAGAAAAAAACCCAAACATTTGTAAAGAAACCCGTGAGGAAATCAACTAAAATAATAAAGAATTGGAAATATATAAAAATATACTGAGAACTTTCTTCCTTAAGATGGTATCATGACTTAAATATTGGTGATTTTCATTAACTGGTAATTAAAATAAATGTGAATAACTTCTTAAATACAGAAATTAATATGAAAAGCTTCATTCTGTGACTTTTTTTAATGATGTTTTCACACTCTTGTGTATGCTATCTCAAGTAATTTCAACGGGCATCCCTATAAATCAAATAAATATAAATTAAAAAATGGGTTCTTTCATCTCATTTTTGATTACTTTATAGTGTTGCTCTCATTGGTCCAACTTCTACAACTATGAAGATATTTTGAAAGTTAAGGCTTTGGTTTATATTCTATTCATTAAGTAGAATTGGAACATAAGACGAGAAGGAGCCATGGATTTTACAACAATGTGAACCCAAAAAGTATTCATATGTAATTTACTATGATTCTTCCTAGAATGGCAAATTCTATCCCCCATGGAAAATTCAAAAAATACTTATAGCATTCTAAGATCAGGGTTTTGCTTAAGAGCTTCAAGTGAGTGGAGTCTAATGTCCTTCCATACAAACTTTTTGATAGAATTGAAAAGGGCAGTTTAGCTCATTGAGTCAAATCCTCTGTTAGATATTCACGTTTTGTGTGAACATCTTACAAAGGAGTGCTTTCTTGATGCTTGTTTCATTTGTATATTTAGGAAGCTTTTTAAAATATTTAACCTTTGTTCAGTAGGCAATTTGACCATTGTTACACATTCTGGAATGATTGAGAACACATTTTAGATGAAGTCTGATGGGGTTTTATTTGGTTTTGTTTAATTTTCCAGGGTTCTGGTTTTTATTTTCTATACATTTATAGTGGTTGGATTGTTATTAGTCATCAGCGTTATGTTGTATAAGATGAGTAGCCATATAAATCTTATAAATAAAGAAATCTTGACAAGTTACCATATGACACTACAGGCAGTTAAAAAGTGCTATATCACATTCCTTACTGTTTTTCACAAGTAATTTCCTTTATTGTCTCCTTTTAAGACTTGATTTCCAGTCTGTTGATCGTCGATATAGCCTTTTGTTGCTTCCTTTTCTTGACTCTTACTGTGGACATAGTAGTCTGGCCAACTGTTTGTATAGCCTATGATTTTGAAACTACACTTTTGCTGATGTGATCCAAAATTACATTTGCTTTTTTTGTAACCGTATAATACTGCTAACTTATATTCAGCTTGCAATCAACTACAACTCTTTTCAGATTCTTTTCAGATGCATTATTATCAAGCTAAATATTCCACATCTGTCTGTTTGATGTATTTATCCTAAGTAAATAAAGATACTTACTATTAAATTTCAGTCTTATTTTCAAGCTATTTCTGTAATTGACAAAATATTTGGATGTTCTTTCTGTCTTCTAGTATTATATAGTAGATCTGTGTAAAGCATTCAAAAGAGTTGCTTCATAACTGCTTCACTGCCAGTGATGGTTTCAAAAGACATCACTGTTAATAATTTGGGGAGAGGTTGTTGCTAACAGTTTACTAGATACTTTTTTTGAATAGCATGTGTGGTATATTAACCAACTCACCTAGTTATATATCATATGAAGATTCAATAGGCCTCTTTCAAGCCTTCATCCAGATCATTAATGATAATGCTCCTCTAATACAGCACTTGTATTTCAGTGCAGTTTGATGTGTAGTTTTTAAACTAGTACTGTATCCATCTAATAAATCTGCCATTCAACTTTTTACTTAAGTAACTTACAAATAAGAATGCCATGTATTTTAGCAAAATGATTTCCAATATATTTTATTTCTATAGTGTTCCCACAATGAACTAAAAAAGCTAGCCAATTAGTAAAAGGCACCCTACCCAAAAGGTTAAGCTTATCTGACCTGTTCTTGGTAAATCCATGATGAATTTTAAGACACACGGACAAAAAATTCAAACCCTAATCCATTTGTCAAACCTACAAAACTACTTTGGTTACAGCCATCTTTCTTCGTTTTTCGGCTTGCCACAGCTATGGGGGGAGGGAAGATGCATTCTTCTATTTCAGTCAAAACAATAACTTTCTTGTGGAAACCAAGGTCAAATCACTCAAGTGTTTGGCGGGCTAGAATTACCATTAGAGAGCCCGCCAAAAATGTTAATTGGAGAATGTGATTTATTACATAATTAGTAGGTGGGGAGTTTAACTTCTATTTTGTAACCTTTTTTGGGGGGGGGACTTCCAGTTTTGCTTTCATCTATGTTCGTGCTGATATGTAGCCATTAAAATTGTTCTTTGAGGAAAGCAAATGCCTCAAAGTTCTTATTTCTACTGGTCTCGTGTATCGGAACCATGACATTAAACCAAGACTCCAAATTTCAATTATCCACAGGGTCCTGAGCCCCGATCACCTACCCAGACCTTTTGGGAGGACAACAAAGACTCAGGGAAGACGCAGAGATGGAAAAAAGAGAGGAATCATTTCCAAGCCTGGGAGCGGCTGTAGCGGATGGGGCGAAGGCTGCTACTTTCTTGGAGAGTATAATCGTTAACAGCTGGAGCGAGGCCAAAGACCCGTGAGGTCCCAGGAGAGAAGCTGACTCAGAAGGAGGAAGCCATCCTAGGTGGAACCTGGTGGTCTGATGCTGCACTGCTGCTAAAGAGCATCCTGAAGGCTGCAGAGGTTGAATTCCCATTGATTTCATCACAGAGTTTCCTTTCACCTGTACCGGTGAAGACTAAGCAGCCTGCAGCTTGGGATGAATCCAGTGAGTGGAAGTACCTGACGGCTGTTCACAACCACTCAGTGGAACACCTGAGGGAGAACTTCGATCGGTTGGACGTGGGCGAAGGGAGACAGGCCACCCACCAGATATTTGCTGGCAGGACAGAAGGCAAATGGGCACAGGAACCTCAGCCCACCCCGGTGAAGCCCTGGCTCTGTGGTGATCGAGCGGACTGCCTCTCCACTGCCGAAGCCTGACCTGACTTCGAGCCTGGTACAATGGCGAAGCCCCGACTGCCATTGACGCCAGGCTAGTCCAGATCGGCCCCAACAACAGGTTAGCCCTGAATATTACAGGCAATCCGTAAGCCCTGAGCGACGTAGGCGTCCCCTTAGCCCAGATCGGCGTCATAGGTCTCCTAGTCCTGATCGTTACTGCCGCCATGCAAGCCCAGATTGGCACCATCGCCATGGACTGATCACAAAAATTTAGAGGCGTTGAGAACTACTCGCAAACTATCCCCTAAGCAAGTCAGATAGATGCAATATTTTAACCATTTCACGTTAAAATACCTTCCGGGGAAAAAATTTTCCTGGCTAACGCGTTATCCAGATTGCCCCAATACAAAAGCCGTCGAGAAGAAATTATAAACTCTGTCATTCCTCAGTCAGAATTGGTTTCTCAAGTAAGCACGGGGGATCCTTCACATGCGAAACCTACTGAGCCTGATAACCATATCACTAAGAGACTAAATGGGGAGCTGAAAACCGATCCCTGGTTCCTAGCAAATAAAACCATTTTGACTTGTCGGGACGGGTTAGCATGGAAAGGGTCAAAATTGTATCTGCCAGAGACTCTCCGAGTTCAAGCTCCTCCAACGCAATCACGATAGTAAACAAGCAGGCCACTATGGTTACCTAAAGACTTTACATTTGATTTGACCAGGACTAAAGAAAGACGTTGAGAATTGGCCAGGACTAAAGAAAGACGTTGAGAATTATGTGGAAAGCTGCACAACTTGTGCAACAATGAAGAAGCGCCCAGGTAAACCTCCTGGATTGTTACAGCAAGTAGCAGATCCTTCCCAACCCTGGGAAGAAATCGCCATGGATTTTATCGTGGAATTACCAGAAAGTAGAGGAAATATGGTAATATGGACTGTGATTGACCTTTTTCAAACAAGCTCATTTCATCTCCTGCACAGGTCTCCCGTCCGCAAAAAAGTTGGCACGAATGTTTCTTAAACATATCTACCAACTCCATGGAGCTCCAAAGCGAATTATATCAGATAGAGGAGTGCAGTTCATTGTGAGATTCTGGAGAAACTTTCTAAAACTTATTGGGTCCATGCAGGGACTGTCATTGGCTTTTCATCCATCTACTAATGGAGCCGCTGAAAAGGCTAACAGTATGGCAGAACAATATTAGATGTTACATGGATTATCAACAGACTACTTGGGGTGACCTCCTCTCCTTTGCTAAGATGGCTTACAGTAACACCGTGCATAGCAGCACTGGACTCACTCTGTTTAAAATAGCCACTGGTAGGGAATTCATTCCCATGAACTCCCTCAGGACCCTCTTGTTTCACAGACTTTAGATCAATGGGCGACTTCTTGGAAAACTCTTTGGAATAATGCTAAATCAGCTCTTATTAAAGCTGCAAAAGTTTACAAAGAGTAGGCAAACAAGAAGAGGGCTCAGAGATCTTTTCATGTTGGTGAAAAAATATATCTCTCTACAAAATATCTGAGACTCAAACTACCTAGTAAAAAATTGGGACCAATGTTCGTTGGACCTTTTCCCATAGTAAGGATTAGAAACCCAGCCACTGTAGAATTAAAGCTTTTTCCCCTTTTAGGGAAGATTCATCCTGTTTTTCACTGCAGCCTATTAAAGCCTTTCAGGGAGTCCTCATTAAGACCTCCCAAACAAGCACCTGGTCCTCTTGTTGTAGAGGGAGAAACTCATTATGAAATAAAACAAATCCTTGACTCCAGATTGTACAAGGGAAAGCTGCAATATTTAGTGAAATGGAAGGGCTATCCCCTATCAGAAGCAATTTGGGTGAAAAGTACTGATGTAAAAGCTGAAAGATTAATACGTAAATTTTATGATAGACATCTGAATTAGCCTAAGGGATAATTACTGACTTTAACTTCTCTTTATTTGCAGGATTTCCCCCTTTAGGGGATCTGACTGTCAAACCTACAAAACTACTTTGGTTACAGCCATCTTTCTTCATTTTTTGGCTTGCCACAGCTATGGAGGGAGAGAAGATGCATTCTTCTATTTCAGCCAAAACAATAACTTTCTTGTGGGGACCAAGGTCAAATTGCTCAAGTGTTTGGCGGGCTAGAATTACTGTTAGAGAGCCCGCCAAAGGTGTTAATTGGAGAATGTGATTTATTACATAATTAGTAGGTGGGGAGTTTAACTTCTATTTTGTAATCTTTTTGGGGAGACTTCCAGACTTGATTTCACCTATGTTCGTGCTGATATTATGTAGCCATTAAAATTGTTCTTTGAGGAAAGCAAATGCCTCAGAGTACTTATTTCTACTGTCTCATTTATCGGAACCATGACACCATTGTTAATGCAGTATTAGAACTGAGGATCTCATCAAGTCTCATCAAATATGACAAGGGAAAATGATAGCAAGGACATTATTAAGAAATCATAATTTCAAGAATATGAAAGAAATTGGGAGAAGGGGACTTTTTATTATAGAAGATCACAGGACAGTGTTAACGGAAAATGCCTATCCAGATAAGAATCTGTATTTTTTTTCTAAAATATACAGCTTTCTTAAAGCATATATAAACTGCGTATAAATAGAGATTTTATATGTTGATAATATATAATAGACACCCTATACTGTTTAACCTAGAACTATATAGACTTTTCAGGAAATTCCCAAATTAAGCAAGATGGTCACATTTTTCATGATCATACATGGTAAGAATGGTTTGATATGATGTTTGCTTTTTAACTGGAAGATAAATCACATATATCTAATTTTGAGCACATCTATGTCTCTTCTGCTAAAATCTCTCCTTATACATTGTTGTTGTTGTTATTATTTAGCCACCCCTACAGTGGACTTATCTACTACAGTATTGTAATATTTTCTATTTTGTCTATAATTGTTTATTTCAGCATGAGGTTAATTGAAACCAGATGTGCATCGCTGACATTCCTAATCTCATAAATTTCATTTTAAGATTTAAAGTTATATTTTAAATTCTACAGTGCACCAATATAGTAGCAAAATGTGTAAGAGAATAATGTGGTCAACATTTTTTTCTGATTATTCTGCATCAGGTGACAATATCTTCAGACCAATAAACAAGGAAATAATTCTGTGTATTTTTCATTGCCAAGCAAAATTGTGATAAATACATATGTTAGTTGACAATCCTCTTGCATGTTTTTAATTTTCAGGAGCATTTTTATTATTTAATTATTAAAACTGTTTCTTTTTCAAAGACAATTATGTAGTTATTCTGCAGTTATTTTGTAGCAATGGTTAGAGGTGAAACCATCCCCTTTCTAATTCAGAGGTGGATATATAACACACTTATATACGATGGTCATCACTTTTGCACAGAATTGGGCAATTGCTAGAAAAATAGATGTCACTAACACCATTTATAAAAAACAAAAATGTCCTTGAAGAAAAAGTTTCTGTGTTGTGTTATAAATTTCAGTCTCAAACATAGATTGTATACTGAATTAGACTTGTTTTATCACTTACATTGTTGTATTATTTATTAAATATTTTTATCATTTCTCCCATAGTCAAATTGGATGCCTTAAAATTTAAGAACAGAACATACTACTCAGATATGTATGAGTAGTGCTAATGTAAGATTCTTTTTATTTTTTTGTAATATGACTCTCATGCAGTGGTAGCAAGCATATTCTTTTTAAGGATAAGAGAATATCTTACATAAAACTCTCCAATGCACCTGGTATTTTGCCATTTCACAGTGCACTATCATGTTTTATAGAAATGCAAGAAGACAGATATCAAGAGCACCTGGTGTCTTTTTACAGTACAATATAGCTAATCACCGTAATAGATTTATTCTTTTGGCATTCATAATATATTGGCTATTTCCTTAAATGTCTTAGAAAATTTGAGACTCTTATTCCAGTTTTCAGTGAATCATAAAACTGCAGATATTCTCTCTGGAATTGAAACATTTATGAACTACTCCATAAGAACATAACTATGGAGTAGTTGCTAAATCAGACTGTATTTTAATGAACTGCATTTTTAGGTGACCACTTCCCTCTTTTAAAAACTACTGACAGTCTTTATATCAATTTTCATTTTCACCACCTCTGAGCAACCTCAAACTTGTTCAACTTACTGATCATGCGTAAGTCATATCTGAACAATACAAGAGTACTAATAAGTACCATCCTAACACTGGTCCTTCAGGGGTTCTACTTACATTCATCCAGTTGATGTTTGTTTTTCACAATGCATAAAATAATAGGTTCTAGAACCACTAAGTTCTATTCAGTTTGCTTCTGTATTTTTCCTTTAGGCGCTGTTCCTAATAGAACAGTTTACTGGGAGTCCTCGACTTAAGACCAGTCACTTTGTGACTTTTTGAAGTTATGACAGGGCTATTTATGACTCGGATTTGAAGTTTGGACTGCTGAGCCCTCCCTATGATCATGTGGTCACATTTTGGGCTCAGCCTGCATTTAGGACCATTTGCAGCATTCTGCAGTCGTGAGCATGATTTATAACTTTTTTTTGCATTGCACAAAACACCATTGTGGACAATGGATTGGCTTAATGATTCGCTTAACAACTGCAGCAAAAGTTATAAAATTGAGTGCTGTCACCTGCTTAATGATAGGCATGTCTTAGACTGTAATTCCAGGCTCAATTGCAACCATAAATTGTGGACTACTTGTATATATATTTTGCTATATATGCAAAAAATTCATTTGGAATCTCAATACAATCTTGAGGATCACTTTCACTCCTTTGTAATCTAATAGCCAAATTTTAAAGTATTTTTGTTACCTTAAAAGTTTTTGTCATACACTAAATTATTTCTGTTTTGCATTCCTCAAAATATTTTTGTTTTACATTTCATTTCTGTTAGACTTGGTGATCCTTTTTGTTGCCCTCCTTAGGCTTTCCATTTGCTGAAATAAATTTTTACACTTTCCTGGAAAACACTAAATTCTTCCTAGGCTGGTTGACATTTTTTACATTGTGTCAGAAATTCCAAAGAGCTGCCATTATGTAATTTTAAATAACCTTTAGGCATTATGAAGATACATGGACCTCTTGAACTTTCTGTCTCTCTATTACCAGAACCCTCATTGAAACAATTTCCTTTCTTGTAGTCAAATATGTTGGAATTGCTGACAATTTTCTTTTATATGTATGCAAAAATGTATGATCATTTCTTTCTTACATCTCGCACTAGTTCATAGTTAAATTTTAGAAGGAAAAAACGGGCATATAGACAACAGACATTAAGGGCATCTAGAGCTTTGGTTTATTGTCTATGATTATATCCAGGTGAGGGTAATTGATATTCTGCATTATTATATCACCTTTTTCCAAGTTTATCTTTCTTCATCATCTCAATATCATCTCATATTCTATATTTTCATCAGGTGAACAGTAGCATATCTCTTCATCTCATTTATATTTGAATCTATTTATTTACTCAATTTATATGACCACCCAACTCATGATAAAGGGCTGCTAACAGTAAAACAGCATTTCGAAAACACTCCTCAAATACACACATATAATTCACAGCCAAGATACAAAATCAGATCCCCAGTGATAAATCAATATAGCCATCGCACAGACCCTGCCTCACATCCTGATCTCCAGGGCTGGTAACAAAACTATGCCTTAAGGACTTACAAAAGGTTGTAAAGATAAGGTTGGCTTCAATCTTATCTCCAGAAAACTGGACACCATGACAGAAAAGAATCTCTTCCTGGACCCCATAAGATGGCACTCCCTAATAGATGGAACCTGAAGCCTCCCTCTCCTACTGAACTTAATGAAACAGGTAAACATAAAGAGGGAGAGGCAGTTTCTCAAACATTCCTGCTCACAATGACTGGTGGAATCAAGTCTTCCATTGCTTTCTGGTATATTCCATGTTATGTACATAGAATCAAGCATGTTAATTCCCCCATTTGTCTTAAAAAATTCTAAAATTGGTATATATATGTATATACCTATTCTATCTAGCTATCTAGCTATCATCTATCCTGTATATATTTTAAAAAGTTTGTATGAGATTTTTCTAACATTTTCACTTCCTGACTGTCATGTCATTTCATTAACTCATTTCCAACATTTGTCCGATCCCTTACAGAACTTTGAAACTACCTACTTTCTTCTGGATGCTGTCCAACACTGGCCATTTTTTCTTTGAGTTTTATTTAAAAACTGCTGTTTGATCTCTGAAGCTGATCTTTAAAAACTTTTTGATCATATGTGCCAGCAACCCGCTGCATTTTAGTTCAAATGGAATTTGTCTCGTATAAGTTTGGCTTGTTTTAAAATGTATCCATGTAAATTCTCTCTGAACAACTGTCTCATCCATGTATTGATGTTAGGTGCAAATGATCACACATGAAGGTCGAGTTAAACTAATGTATTGCTAATCGCGCCTGTGCACAAGAATCTTTTCAACTAATGGATAATACCTGGGGTTAACTAAGGTCAACAGAATTCAAGGGAGGTTGCACTTAGTTTTCTTATGGCTGTGTAGGGATTCTAGGCTGATTCCTCTTAATAGATTCTGTCATCCTTCTACAATTAAGGACCTCCCCTCAATTCTGCCTGCCTAGCTAACTCTGCACATGTAATGCTAGCATTTCTGAATATGTTATCTTAGCACTGTGTGACTCCATTATTGGCAAGAATGTCCTTTGGACTAAAATGTCCCTGTTACTATTTGTCTTCTTGTGAAACTCCCAAATATGTCCCCTCTTAAAAAGCAAGTCAATTGAGACTGCTATTAATTGAGGAAATGTAATTCACCCACTACTTAATACTTTGTTCAATAAGTGAACTCCAACTATAAGCCCTTCTACCCCCAAACATGTGCTCAAGAAGAAAGCAAACAAGCAAACACATAGCAGAGCACCCCTCACTTTCTTCTGAACCGAAGATGCTTCTTGGATGACAAGCGAAATGTCTTCAAGAGAAAAAAACCCAAGTCCGGTTGCCTTTTGAACAAGCATCTTTAGGGCAACCATGACCTGGATGATTGAGAATCTCCATAGCCCTCATTCTCCACAACCTCCCTCAATTAGCAAACAATCATCCTTAAACTCTAATAATTATTTTCACATGTTCATAGCTCTCTTACAATACTCTCCTGTTTCTGTTCTACTTGTTACATCCAGAAATATGTACAATTCACATGGTTTTCAAGTTTACAATATAATACATAGAAATTAATGAATCTGAAAATGAACTGCAAGTTATTTT